AGTGAGGGTCGGCTCACGAGCGAAGTAAGAGGTGAGTTGAAGTGGGAGTCGGGCGACCCGACGAGCTGGTGCCAAATGCGCGGGGTTGACGCGTGGGGCTACGACGGACTGTAGCGCGCGGGCGAGCCTGACGGGTGCAGGAGGACTAAGCGGGGTGACGACTTCGTGGGTTGGTACGTGACGACGAACTGTCCGCATCAGAGAGATAGATAGATAGATAGATAGATAGATAGATAGATAGATAGATAGATAGAGAGAGAGAGAGAGAGAGAGAGAGAGAGAGAGAGAGAGAGAGAGCTGAGGTTGATGGACGTGGAGTTGCAATTTTCTTTATCTTGTCTCCCCCTTTGCTTTTGCATATAAATTTTGATCTCGGCTCAGGGCGACTTGCCCGTTTTCTCTTGTTTTCGAAATCCTTGCCTCAGTTTCAACCCACACTTGTTTTGCGTTTGATCTTGATCCACGCTATCGTGTGTTTTGTTGAATAACTGGATGAATGAATGTTATGTCTATCATTTTTCTTTTGTCTAGTCATTGCCTTTGCTTGCCATTTTGATACACCCATAAGCATAGTAGAAATTTTTGCATAAGTCGTCATTATTGCTTCCATTATTGCTTATTACTTTGATTCGCTGTTGTTCTGGTGTTGCTGCGATGTCTGATGTGTGATAACACCTTGCATGCTCGGGAATGATTGCTTGCGGGATCACTAAGTCATTAAATGATTGGGTAGTTGTTTATGGCACATGGGGATTTCGCATAAGGAATTAGGCTCTCATTTTTCCGGAAACAAGCGAATACCTCGCGGGGATACATGTCAGCACGATCTGATTTGCGCAGCCTACACGTATCCACGCGCGCCGATTCGCGGCCATCGACGAACTTGACACCTCCGATATCGGGTAGGCGAGAATTTTCCTTCCCCCACGCACCTAAACGTTCCGATATCCCATCGGGAAAATCCCCTTGCCGGTTAGATTCATGCGGAAGGTTTCCATTACGCTGCAATGCTGTCGGACTCATGGGACTTAGAGTACTTCGACCTTTGGGTAAGAGAATAACTTAGGCAGAGACGTCTGGAATTTCCCTGCCTAACCGAGAACTGATTGTGCCCCAGGGAGTTTCGCTGTGCCGTAACCAGCGATCCGAGGTGCCCCGATTACCCAACTACGTACAACACGCAATACTTCATAACCCCCAGCTTCGTCGTTATCACTACTAATTTCCCTCCCTTCCATATCCTCCTCCCGTATCACCAACTCATGGTGGTACCGTGGAATTCCATTACCCTGTATTGGCCCTGCACGCCGTGCAGAAACTGCCGACGGCGCAGCTACCACCAAAACCCTGGCACTACGGAGCCTAGCTGTAACATGCGGCGACGGATGCCACGTGTTGTTCCCCCGAAGATCCAACTTGTAAGAACCGCAGCCCGCACGAGTCTCTCTCGAACCGCCGTCACCAAAATAGACGGATCGGACGGCCTCTGATGCACCACGCATGCCATCTGCCTTACGACTGGACGACATTGACCGCCATCAGACCGGAAGTAACCTGCCCTTAGTCTTATTGCCACAGGAGATCTCGGTCCCGAACTGGGACTCCACCCCCACTTTCCCAAAAGTCCTTGGCACACCTCTTTTCGCACTTCCAGGCCCACATCCCACTCTGATCAGGAAGTCGCGCCGGGCGTGAGGTTGGTATCAGAGCCCGACACGTGGCGAGGTTCTCGGATTAGCTGGGCGATCTGGCTAATAGAGGACGACCTCGACCACGGAACGCACATCGACGCGATCCCGTCGTCACCAGAAGCTAGTGTGCGGCTCACTAATCAACAGAACCCCCAACAGAATCTTAATCCACAACAAAATCCTAATCAACCTCCACCACGAGCACGGGCTCCCATGATGCCACACGATCTTTATTTATTCGACCCTGCACGTTATCTCGCTGGAGCATGGGTGGCCACGCTCCGAGCTCAGCAGTATGATGACAACGAGGCGCAAGTGAATATTCCTGCACGATTGGGAGGAGATGCCCATCACTGGTTTAGCACCTATGTATGGGTCGATCTCCCGACATTCGAGCGATATTTTTTGAACCGATTCGATTACATCCACCCCGAACAGACTCTTTTTATGATTAAAGTCCGAGTTTCGAAACCTCTCGAGTCTGTCACAGAGTACCGAAACCGATTCTATCGAATGTTCATAAAAACGGAACAAGGCGAACAGGTAGGCAGAGATTTGTTCATCGACGGACTTCGCAGCCGAACGATGAGGGCGAAACTGCGAAAACAGTTATCCCCCATCAATCACACGCTGCAACAGATCATGGCAGCCGTAGAGGAAATGGAACGAAAGTTCGCTGCGAGTTTCCTAAAAGGAGAATACTACCCTAGGGAAGGAGACTCGTCTGAACTAGCGAGAGCTAAAGCTGAATTGGCCGCACTACAAAACAAATTTAAAAACATGGGGTTTGTGTCGGGCCCCGTCACCTATCTAGAACAGATTAGTCCCAAATGACCGGTCCAGAGTGCGATTACAAGCATACCCGTTCCTGTAATGACAGCACCCCCGCCTCCGATCGAAAGTCCTGCACGACCGAATGAGTTTTCCGCCTTATTGGAACTAACCAAGACACTGGTCACTCTGATTCGGGAAAGCAAAGAGGAACAACGGGCTGCGGGAGCACAACGCTCGAATAAAAGCGATAATGAGGTCGAGGAGACCTATAGCGGTGCGTGCCGCCCCGATTCAACACGGGATAGCTCCGGCATCGCCTCCCGCAGGGATCCCTGGCAACTTGAATGTTTGTTACACGTGTCATCAACCAGGACACATAGCCAGGGATTGCCCTCATAGTCCCCCACAACCACGAATCGGGGCTGCACCCGTAGCAGCCGCACCGATCGCTAACGGGCCGGGACGAGTAGGGGCGCTGATGGAAGAAATGGAAGGAGGTGGAAGCACGCTAGCTACAATGGAGGAAGTCGCCGAGCTTATTCCTTTGAACCAGTACGTAACGCTCGGATATCCAGGGCTAGGGACGATTGAAACCATTAGACCGGCGCCAGAACAGAGAGAAGTGGCGGAATGGCGATCCTTTTCAGGGGAAATGGAGTCGGGAGGACCCACCTTCGTCAAGGGGGAAATCGATGTTCTCAACATCGTTCGAGCCTTGGACCATCGGATTCCTCTTCCGATCGGTCATCTACTCTCTATATCCGAACAAGCCAACGAATGAATGCTGCAACATTGCAAGGCGAATCGGAAACGATTCGCCCTCGCCCGAACAGCAAGCACAAAAGCAAAAAAGTCCAACCCAAGACGAAAACGTTGTTGGTACTTCAGATCCGATACCGCTAGGATTAATCAAAAAAGATGATAATTTCCTACGGATCAAACCAATATCATCGAAATCCGCAGAATGCGATATTGAAGTACGGGGAATCCCGTACAACGTTATCATTGATTACGGGGCCGCTGTCCTAGCTATCTCATTACGGGTAGTCGAAAGGGCAGGAAGAAAGAACGATCTAATCATGCTTACGGAAAAAGAACAGCTTGTTTCAACAGAAGAAGAGAAAATTAAAACGGTGGGACGAATGACCAATGTTGCTTTTCGATTAGGGAAAGTTCATGCTTTGGGAGATGTCGTAGTTCTAGACGTCCTTTTTGGCCTTCCCGCTCTGGTGGCCCTGCGAGCTAATCTGGATTTCGGGAGGCGATCGATCGTCCTCCAAAATATGGGGGGAAAACCCTATGTTGTACCTATGCGATTAACTCTCCGAACCACAGCCAACTTAACCCCACGAGTTTCGCCCATAATGGCGGAAACTCTTCGCGTGATTACCTGGGATAGCTCTGCTGACGGAGGGCAATCTCTGACGGACGCAGACAGGAATGACGAGGACGATCCACTAGTTCTGGAAATGGCGCAACAACGTAGCTATTACCCTGTGCAACGAGCAAACACGAAATCAATAAGCCTGACTGATCAGAATCTACAAAGAACGCAAGCCATGATTATGGGTGAACCCCTCGTGCAGATTTCGAGAATGGTCGATTCTTTGGAACCCCCTCGAACCCTGTACGAAGGTACCTCCCCCTTACTTGCACGATATAATGACAAAAGGCACTACTGCGACATCACAAATCTTCCACGATCTCTTTTGACACCTGCAAAAGAGATACAATTATTACTCTTAGGGGCAGAGACCAATTATTTGGACCCCCCTGAGCGCCTCGAAACTGGGCTCGGAATCAAAATCGCAACGAAACCCGTGTCATGGCAGGACATTCGAGACGGAATAACACCAGAAGAACACGTGGCCATTTGGGAACAAGATGCACATATGATGGCTACGGTATTCTCTTGGCGATCGGACAATTCGTTTATTTCCGCGCCCCCGCTCGAAAACACTAAGCGGGTGAGTATGAAACATATCGATGTACAAATATGGGATGAGCTGTACGAATTGTACGTGGCCCAATACGTACCTGATGAGATCCATCACCTAATCGCGGACATTTTGAAGGTATACAAATGAGCGATTAGTGTGACAGACACAGACATCCGACTGTCGTTAGTCATACAGCATGATATCCAGACCGGAAACCATCCCCCGATCCACTGTAAGCCCTACAGATACTCCTTGGCAGAACGGAAAACGGCCCTTGAGCGGATTCGAGAATTCGAAGCCAATGGTTGGATCGAACCTGCCACTGGGCCATGGTCGTTCCCGGCAGTATTAGTGTCAAAGAAGAACTGATCCATTCGCATATGCATTGATTATCGCAAGCTGAATGACATCACGATCAAAGATGTGTACCCCCTTCCCAGGATCGATGTTCTGCTTGATGCGATTGGGTGTGCTAATTATTTTAGTAAATTTGATATTCGTCACGACTTCCATCACATTCTGGTTAAGGAGGAAGATCGACCGAAAACGACCTTCGTACTGTTTGAGGAAACGTGGTAGTGGGTCCGGTGTCCGATGGGTATTTACAACGCACCTGCCACGTTTCAGCGGGCGATGAACATGACGTTCCAGAACTTCGTCAACAAGACGCGGCTCACTCAGGGGATGATTCACTTATGCGTCATCGTGTACATGGACAACATTCTCGTCTACTCGGAGACCTATCACGGGCATGCACAGCACATCGAGTGGAAACTGGGAGCTCTGAGAGACGCTGGGTTCAAGATCGCGCTCGAGAAGAGCGAGTTTTTCCTCTCGGAAATCTCGTTCTTAGGCTACGTGGTGACACGCGGAGGACTGCGGCCAGACTCGAGGAAAGTCGTGGCGGTGAGAGAAGCTCCTGTCCCCACGTCAGTAACGCAGGTTCGAGCTTTCCTGGGGCTGGCGTCGTACTATCGTCGCTTCATCAAGGGCTTCGCCTCAATTGCACGACCTCTTACGAACCTGCTATGAAAAGACCAGCCCCTCAGCTGGGATGCAGAGTGCGAACAGGTCTTCGCCACCCTCAAGGACGCCTTGGCAACGACACCTATTTTGATCCGGCCGGACCCTACGAAGTAGTTCATTCTTATCACGGGCTGGCAGCCGGAGGCGATCTCCGCTATTCTAGCGCAAAAGGGGAACGACGATCGAGAACACGTCATCGAGTACTCATCGCGCACGATGCCAGACGAGTGGAGGAACGATTCAGCCCCGCAAGGTGAATGCTATGTCGTAGTATGGGGAATTCAACACTTCCATCTGTATCTTTATGGACAAAAGTTCCTCCTTGTAACCGATCACGAGCCATTATTGGCTCTCAAGAAGCTCACTAATTACACGGGTATGATTGGACGATGGGTGGTGCGCCTACAGGAATACGACTTCGACATCATCCATCGAAAGACAGAGAGGCACAGCAACGCGGACGGGTTGACACGTCTGCATCGCCCTGCTAAGGTACCTAAGGGTGAAGAAATCATTCCGTGGAAGGAACCGGAGTCAGCGAATGGACCCAAGTACGGGCAAGTGGCAGTCCTTCCACGTGGCAAGAAGCACGCGATTGGCAATGGGTGACGGAGGTAATCTTACGACTCCTCTCTCTCCTCTCTCATCTTATTCTTTTCTCTCCCTACCCGACAAATTTTGTTATTTTTGTGAAGCGATCTCGCGCGTCTACTCGATCCCAATGCGTCCTAGTGGGGAGGGATATGTAGACTGGATAGATTGTCGACAGTGTGTCGCGCGAGCCCATGGCTCGTGCATCCAGTACAGAAATGGCGATAAGCATTGGTTGTGTCCCTTGTGTTGGGTTGATAAGATCCCGACCGAGGCTCGATTTCTTGATGCCACGTAGGAAGGATTGGAAAAGACCCGGAAGTTTAGAAGGGTTGAGGTATGGATGGGCATCGCTCTAATTGCCACCTTGGTAGGAAACCCCCTCCAGAACTTCACTAAGGAAGACCGGAGGAGGGTCAATGAAAGGGCTAGGGACTATCGTTGGAACGAGGGACGGTTGGAAAAACGGAAGATGAATGGTAGTGGGATTTGGATGGTAGTACCACACCCGTTCATGAGGTATGACTGGGTCAAGAGTCAAGCCAGCGCACGAAGAAACTGCAACCCATTTTGCCGTACGGATCACGGAAGCGGCAATCGACAAGAATGAATGGTATTGGTCCAATATTCACGATGATGTCAAATTCATTGTCGTGAACTGCCAGTTCTGCGTTGCCGACGAGGCGCCGATCCAACCGCCAAGATCGATAGTACCGACGGTAGTTGAACGGCCGTTTCAGAGGGTTAGCATGGATACTACCGATATTGTGGTGCCCCCTAGACCTAATAGTTGCGAGTATTCAATCCTACCGGTATTCGTAGACCACTTTTCAAAGTGGATTGAGGCATATCCGTGTCGTACACGACAGGCGGCTGAAATTGCGCGATACATCAACTGGTTTCTAGGGATGCACCAGGACACATAGGAAATCCTCACCGATAATGGGGTAGAATTCAGAGGGGAAGTTTTAAGGAGTCTGCTCGTACATGGCATTGCCATTCGGAACACTGCACCCCACATGTCACAGTCTAACGGCCTGGTAGAAAACGCAAATCGGGTGATAAAGACAGCACTGCGACGAAACATCGCGGTACGGGATCCGAGGCCCTGGCCCGATATCGTAGATCACATCCTGGCGGTCCATCGGGGAACGCCTCACGAATCGACGAGCCTTAGCCCCTTCCAATTACGAACCAATAGCATAGCCTGTGTCTCGATACCGAGCCTCCCCGATGATTGAACCGACGGCCCACGAGAGCCACGGTTCGGGACAAGGCCAAGCGGCACATGGAGCTGATGGAACGGTCCCTTCCCCGATAGCCCGAAAGCGCTAGAAAATGACTGAGTTGGCCCACGACCGACAGCTTCGTAGCTACGAGGCCCGGAATGGGAACGCAGGACCACAACCCCAGTATAAATTACGGGACCTGGTGCAAGTGAGGAAATGTGGTCGCCAAGGGAAGATAACGCCACAATTCTTCGGGCGATTTCGTGTGATCGAACTCGGCCCGAACGGGGTGAACACCGTGCGCCTCGTGCCGGAGGTCTCGGGAAGCCGATCGGCTCGACCGATCGTCCGCCACGTGTCCTATCTACGTCTTCTCCCTTCGTCTCCATCTTCAGTTGGGTCTGCTTCCTCCTTCGCCACAGAGGAGGACGACGATTCCTTATCACTCTTATCCTCTCCTGCTTCTCTCACTCCGTCCTCATCGCCATCGCCATGAGTTTCCTCACTGAGCGGGCTCTCGGCAATCACATGCTGGCGCCACGTGGCGACATTTCGGCAATTCGGCAAGTTCATCACCCGCGATTCAATCTGGATCTTCTACGGCTCGCGTAGTTCTTCTGTACCATGGGAGTGTACGTGGCGGCGGAGTTCCGGTTCGCGGGCCATCATGAAGCGATCGTGTTGGCAAAAGCGTTGGCTGTTCGACGGCTGTTAGCCCCAGGAGTTAGCCACGTGTCTACCGTTGTCACCTTCAACGGCAATATTAGCACAATCAGCCCCCTGCGACACACGGCCATCCGGACGTCGTTAAGGGAGTGGGGCCAGCAACTAGCAACGGAGTGGAGTCAGTGGCTCACGCGCCGCGGCGACAATCTTGTCCCCACAGACGGCATCGAAGTCGGAGGGCTCCGAACGTCTCGGCACGAGCCGGCGGTGTTGCTTCCAGAGCTCGTTCCCTTCCAGCGACCTCAATGAACCACTCCCAGCTCTCTACCTTCGCTCTCCCATCTCTCTTCCTTACCTTCTGGCAGTCTGACCTTTGCCCCCGTCTCTCCTTTCGTCTGGAGTCACTCGTTGTTCCCCTCCTCTACCGAAGACAGTGGGAACTGTGGTGCGAACACTTCGTCGATCTTTCGGTGTGTCTGGTCGGAGTGCAGTTGACGTGGACGAGGGATATAGAGCACCGCGCCTGGAGCAAATACCTAGAGCTGCTAATCATCCAAGCTTGGAGAACGGAGATGGAAGGAGACCTTATCGGATTTCTATCCGGATCGGTGCGGCCCGGCTATCGACAGCTGATCGTACAGGAGCTCACGATTCCTCTCGCGCAGCTGATCGACGATCTCCCTCTCGATATCGTTTCGCAGTGTGACGAGAGTCCGGTCCCGCACGTCCTTTCACGAGCTCTGACGCCTTACCTACAGTGGTCAGCCTGCCTCGAGGAGCCGGAAAGTGACAACAACCCGCCATCGCGGCAAGAATACTTGGACTCGCGGAGGATAATCGACCTCGCCTTCTTTCAGCCACGAACGACATCCGAAGACAAAGCGATAACGACAGAGGAGGAGGAGGAGGAGGACGAAGAGGGAGGCGACAAGGAAGAAGAAGAGGAAACCCCCGAAGAAGGAAGTTACAGCGAGCACAGAGAGGGAGAGCAGGGCGAAGAGGAAGAAGAAGAGGATCAGTCGGAGGAAGAGGAGGAATATGAGTGGGAGACGTTGGAAGAAGAGACGGATCGCGCAGAGCCTCACGAGGAGGATCCCGAGGCGGCGCCAAGGAGAGAAGAGATCGCAGCAAGGAAGCAGCCGCCGGAGTTCGCAAGTGGAGTGAATTTGCCGATCCCAAACGACCCATCCAAGGATCCCGAGCCACCCAAGAACGACGATGGGGACCTTGCTGCCGAGACTTCGAGCGCACCAGTCCGATGGCGACGAAGCCGATCCCCCTCCCCCTCCACCTCAGCCCGTCCACCAGTTCGAACTCGTACCGATGCGGGGCATCCGGCTTCGTCCCCGGTCCTTATCCCGTCGTCCCCTTGACCACCTCACCCTCCGCCACATCACTAGCCGCATCACCTTCCCATGCAATCCCTTCCCAATCGACACCTTCTACTTCTTCTACGCCACCCGTCTTGCCGTCACGGTTCATCCCCATCCCTCTACCCGGAGTGCCACCCCTGTCTTATGTCTCCATGTCCTTCTCTTCAGTGCCGCGCGACGAGGTCACAACATGATCGAGGTTTACAGCATGATCACAGGGACGATCCTCGCATGCGAAAACCATGATCACTTCCGTACGACATTTTTTCGAACTTTCACCACTCTCTACCCCGACTATCACGCCTCCCTTCCTCATTGTGGTCATCGATTTCCTCGCTTCCACCGGATCATCCGATATCAGGAGCTCCCGAAGACAGTCGCGGAGATGGACGCTTTCTACCCCTCCTCCCGACTAACCCACCCCCTCGCCATGCCCCCATGTATCGTCTTCCCTTCTCCCTTCCCTTAGGACATTGATGCACGTGCCACGGCGATGGCACGCACGATCCCCTCCTTGGACTGAAGAGAGCCCATCCTGAGGAAATTGTAGTATAGAGCCACGTGTGCCACCCTGAATGACTTCCACACTCCTTCGCACAATTGGTGGCAATGTAGAAAGCTCCACGTGGCGATCGATTAGAGGGATCGACACGTGTCATGATTCAAGCAAACAGGAGTTTGCTTAAGATTGGAACCCCCTGGGCGTCACATATGTGACGAACCAATTTCTGCTCCGCACGATTTTCTGCGCGATGACAATGAGGGGTCCTAAGATGGGAAGGTTGGGTCAATTACGAGAGATCGGGATCGAAGGGAAATTTCATTGGTGTCCTCGCTTCTTCGTCTTCTTGCGTCGCTTTTTTTTTGGATGGCTGGGTTCAGGGCCGGACAAGTCCCGAGATGGCCGATTGAGTGGCTGTCGCGCCGACAAAGGCGCGATTAATAATATTCGACGGTGCTTCTTTTCTGTCCTGTTGTCGGATTTTAGGCGCAGGAGATCTCGCGGGAATTTTGCTTCTTTCTTTTCGATTTTTTTATTTTTTATTTTTTTTTAATCTTGTCGAGCCTTGACGGCTCTCGGAACTTCGGATTTTTTTTTCGGAATTAGTATTTATTTTTGCATTAGCTAGGAATTTAAGAATTTGGAATTTCTTTTGTCGCGCGCTGCTTGTGCTTGCGCGCTTCTTTTTCAGTTACAACGGAGCTCTGATTAGTCGGCGCCCTTAATCTTGCGAGTAACTGTAATCTTGGGCGGGCGCCATTGTAACTGTATCTTTCTTCTTGAGCTTCGTCTTTCCCGCTCTCTCCTTCCCTCTTGCTGTGCCTAGTTAGCCCGCGGCCTGCATGCTCGGGTCGATGCATGGAGAGTGGCTACGTCCCCCACGCCGCGGTCTGGCCATGCAAAACGTAGGCGCTCCCTCTCCTAATCTTCTTCCTAAGTCCCTGTAATTCCGTGTTCTCCACGCATGCATGCATGCTATAAATTCCAGCTGCACGATTAGATAGCTCTCTTAACCAGCTGTTGGAAGCTCGGGGTACCGCGATTAGTGAGGGTCGGTTCACGAGCATCTTACCAACTTATCAGAGAGTTTAGGCTGAGTCTTGATCCACTTCAAAGCAGAGTGATCAGAGTAGACAGTGAAGTGTCTCCCTAACAAGTAGTGTTTCGAGGTATCTAGTGCAACAACTAAGGCATACAATTCTCTTTCATATGTGGAGTTTGCCACTTTCTCTGACGGAAGTCTTCTGGATATAAACTCAACAGGTCTATGTCCCTTACTGTAGTCTTGTTGTAGCACAACCCCAATTTCATACTGACTTGCGTCAATCGTGACGATGAAAGGAAGATACTTGCTCCTATGAGAAGACTGCTGAAAAAGAAAAAGCCTTGGTTGTGGGAAAAATATTGTGAGTCATCATTTAGAAAGTTAAAGCATGTTCTGAATCACTACCCTGTCTTAAGGATTGTTGACCCTTCTCTTCCTTTCATCGTCACGGTTGACTCAAGTCAGTATGGAATTGGGGTTGTGCTACAGCAAGACGGCAGTAAGGGACATAGACCTATTGAGTTTATATCCAGAAGACTTCCGTCAGAGAAAGTGGCCAACTCCACATATTAAAGGGAATTGTATGCCTTAGTTGTTGCACTAGATACCTGGAAACACTACTTGTTAGGGAGACACTTCACTGTCTACTCTGATCACTCTACTTTGAAGTGGATCAAGACTCGGCCTAAAATAAGTCTGATTTATTTATGATACTATACTGTCTTATTATTTTTTTTGAAAAAATAAAGAGACTGATAAGTTGGTAAGATGATCTGCTTTCTTGGATATGTTTGACTTTGAGGTGAAAACCATCAAAAGTAAGTCTAACGTGGTTGCGGATGCTTTGTCCAGGCGTGCAGATTTCTTTGGAACCATTATCTCATATCTCGATATCGGAAATGAATTGAAATAACTAATTCGCCAGGGTTATGAGAGTGATCCTATTTTGAGTCCTATCATTGAAACTCTATGAAAAAACCTTGAGTTGTTTCTGGAATATCGAATGACTGATGACTTACTCTTCTTGCTAGAAAGATTGTGTGTTCCTCACCTAGAACCAATCAAGAGTTTAATCATTGGGGAATGTCATGATGCGGACGGTCACTTTGGTTTTAAGAAGACGTATGTCGATGTGCGTGAACATTTTGAGTGGAAAGGAATGAAGGAAGATGTACTAACGTATGTGCGGACTTGTCTTGTCTATCAAAGGAACAAGCCCACGCATAAGAATCCGATGGGTCTATTGCGACCGCTGCCTATTCCAAGTGAGTCAGGTGAGACTTTATGAGTCTCACTAAGAGTCGAAACCGCAACAGTCGGGTAATGGTTATCGTTGATAGATTCTCTAAGTATGCTATGTTCATTCCTTTGCCTGTTGAAGCTAGAACCGAACTAGTCATTCAGATGCGATGTCGGTCTTTGAGAATGAATTTCCCAAAAGTTTAAAATCATCGTATCAGACAGAGATGTTCGGTTCACCAGTCTACAATGACAGAAGTTGATGGAAGTCTATGGAACCAGGTTGACCATGCCTGAAACGAATGGCCAAACTGAACAAATGAATCGTCTTTGCCAACAACTTTTGCGAATGTATGTCCGACCTAACCAAATCGATTGGGATGAGAACTTGCCTAAAATTGCTAGTGCCTACAATAACAGTATACATACTGTTACAGGAAGAACGCCCAACACACTGCATAAAGGATGGAAGTCGAGGCGTCCTATTGATGCATTAACATGAGACCAGGTTCAAAGGCTACCCCCAGGAATGCGGGAATTCGCAGTTTTATACGAAGAAGACATCAAAAAGGTTAAGGAAAACATACAGAAAGCCCAAGTATAAATGATTGAACAAGCTAATAGACATCGCCGACCTTCACAATTCCAAGAAGGGGACCTTGTCTGGGTTAAGTCTAAAGAGTTTTCCTTAGAAGAAAATGTGTCTCAAAAACTGCTACCTGTCTACTACGGGCCCTGGGAAGTTCTCAAAGTAATTGGAGGAGAAGATGGACCTTCCTATCGTATAGATGTACCTCCACATCTAAGGACATACCCTGTCTTCCATGCGTCTAAGCTGCTACCCTACGTAGAAAGTGATAACTTTCCAAATAGGTCATCTATATTTCCACCCTCTGTGAATGGAGGCTATGAAGTTGAAAAGATATTGGAACATGGCTATTTTTCTACAGGTGGCAGAGGACGACCTCAGAAGCAATACAAGGTGAAGTTCAAGTCCCAACCTCCATCTGAAGTCAGATGGTTTAGTAGGAAAGAACTCCTACCTACTGCTCCTCACATTGTTGCTGCATATGAACGTGGGTTAAGTTAGAATTAATGTATTTTCTGCGATGGATCAAAAACTGGGCCGACCGGAATGCAATAACCCATGCCATATGTCTCGTGGAAAAGAACTGTGGGCCAACTCGGCCGCCCTCAGCCTAGGCCGAAACAGGGGCAAAAAGAAACCCCACACGAGGACTCAGGGCCTGGGCGTGTGACAACTGACTTTGGTCAACTGTCATGACCCCAATAGTCAAAGTCCAAAGGTACCCATCCCAGGCCGCTCGTCAAGCACACACACTTGTTTGTATGCAGGTACCCAGACAACATCAGGTCCAAGGGAGAAGTCTGCAACTGTACAATCCGAGCCCTCGGCTGTGAGTCAATCTGGAAGACTGTGGGAGAAGCACCCGAGGCCAGACAACTTCGACAACTGCTACTTAAGGCTGGCCTCGAGGGAGTCAAACATTCAGTCTTGCTATGCTTCTTGAGTGCTGGCCTGACTTCGACTACGCTGGCAAAGTGCTGGCTCGACGCTGGCTGTATGCTAGCATTGTCGACGACGACAGGGACTGTGGCAACATGCTGGCGCATTCTGCATTGTGCGCCAGGCATGCTGATGAGGCGCTGCTGGTCTACATTGCATGCTGATGTGGCGCTGCCTCTGGTCTACATTGCATGCTGATGTGGTGCTGCCTCTGGTCTACATGGCGCTGCCTCTGGTCTACATTGCATGCTGATGTGGCGCTGCCTCTGGTCTACGTGGCGCTGCCTTAGGACTACATTGCATGATGATGCAGCGCCTGCCACTAGTCTACATTGCTGACGTGGCGCGTGCCACCCATATTCATTGATGATGTGGCATATGCCACCTGTCTTGACTGCTGACGTGGCATTGTCCACGCTGTCTACATGAGGTGACTGGTTGTGAGGAGGAGGAAGATTGGGATCTGTGGAAGATTGGGTTTCGGGTACTCACCTGAGGTTGACGTCATCACTATAATCTGCTGTGTCTTCATGGTCTTCATAAGATAAGAGTGCCACGTGGCACTACTGTGTGATCAGAACTTACTTGTTATCAGATACTGGTTGCTGACGTGGAGAGGGAAGAAGCCTGGAGAAGGAGTGGGACTTTGATGGGATTACTCTTGTGTGATCTTTGATCTCTTCCACCTTCTCCTCTGTCTAATCCCCCTCCACTCTCCTCATCTACTGGTAATGAGATACTGTTTGGGATATCACTCACAATTATTGGAGACTTTGCTGCAGATACTGACTCTACTGGTATTTGACGATTGATGAGTATCTGCCAGACTGGGTTCATTACATAAATATCAGCTAATAGGTACAGCAACTAGGTAGTAGCTTCAGACTTCCAGTTAATATAAATAGCAGCTAATAGGTACAGACCGTACAGCAACTAACCAAGGTGCATCTTAGCTACACCCCATACGCTGACAACTTAATAATAAGCATCTTAATCAATAGGTGCACATCAAAAAAAAAAAAAAAAAAAAAAAAAGAAGTGTACCTCATATGAATATATAAGCATACCAACAAGTAGGTGTAGCTAATATGAATATTAGCTTAATAGGTATAGCCATTAGACCTACCTAGTTCATTTGAATCCTAGCTATAGACATTACCTCATAAGCATACTAGTTAATAACTGTAGCAAACATGCCTTTTTTTTTTTTTTTTTTTTTTTTTTTTTTGGGTAGCTTGCATACCAGCTTTAGCTATTAGGCTATTAGCTAATGGCCTAACAAGGCATATCAATTTATAGGAGTACCTAAAATGCCACATACAAGGCTTCTACTCTTCTAGTATACGCCATGGAGATGTACTCTGACAGCGTAAGCGTATTGTGGAAAGAGCGCTGGCAAAAGAGTGAGCGATGACGTTCTCCTTTTTCTTTTTTTTTCTCCTATTCGATGCAAAAAAATGATATTTGAGAGTCTCCAGCCGCACCCTCACATCATTCCAGGGCCTGCTTAGCGTGCTCGATGGTCTGGTTGGCTGCAGAGAAACCTTGGACTCCATTTAGACTTCTAAACTCAAGTTTAAACAACCAGTATACCACCCCCTGCCCCCCCCCCCCCCCCCCCCCCCCTCCTCATCCACCGCATCAAGAATGCCCGTGATTGCACTGTCTGCGGGCAGGCCACGGAGCAGGGGACGGCGTTGGCCTACCGGCCAGTGGGGGTTGGTGACTCTTCATAGAAAAAACAAACCTAAAGTCAATGATTTATCGATTGGAAGAGCTGCACCAATTCCCAACCAAATGGATACTGCGGTGCCTATTAAAAAGACTGTAGTAGCTACTGGACGTCTAAATGGGTTTTGAAACTTATTGACATTTTAATGCACCACCTTTGGCAATTTTTTGCGCTCAGAATTTTTCGCGCTCAAATATTTCCGAAAAGAATCAGGGACGTGGATTTGGTGCTAATCTTTTCGGGAAAAAAACATCAGATTCGATTAGAAAGATTTCAACAAAAAAAAAGCAGCTCTTAGACGGCAAAAAGAATTGATGGCAGCATAAGTCCACAGTTCTTTTTTTAACCCTTCTGCTACCCCGTAGAGTCGGGTAGGCTCAAAAGAGTCAAAACTGTTTGCCTTCAGGCCCTAACGAGTAGTCTGATTTTCGATGCGCTGTGGGCACTGTTGGTTTAAGGGCACATTCAAGCTAGGACTTCCCTGAGTGCATCTGACTGCACTGTTTTTGGGCAGATTCAGTTCGAAAAGCTCCTGGTGTGTGTGTGTGTGTGTGTGTGTGTGTGTGTGTGTGTGTGTGTGTGTGTGTGTGTGTGTGTGTGTGTGTGTGTGTGTGTGTGCCAGAACATAAGACAGCTGAATTGCATGTGGTTGAAACAGTACATGCACAAGCAGCTGTCTGTGGGCGGGCACATCAACCAACTAACAGAATGCAAAAACAATGAAGGTGGGCGGGGACATCGACCAACGAATAGAAATTTCAAATTATAGAATGTGAAAAAAAGCGACAGCTTTGAAAGAAAAGGAATGGTTGACGGCTTTGCCAGACAAGAAATCGGTAAATCAGGTTGAAGGAACCCCCCTTTTCTGAACAGAGCTGAGATGAGAGTCGCGTTTCTAAATGAACAAAGACATGACTGGTAATGGTACATACACAAGCATGCTCTCCCCAAACACATCAACCAATGATGAGAGAATAACACCAGTGTCAGAATCCTCTTTCCAAGCTTCCTCCAGCACACTTTTCCACCTAACAACCTCCTCTCTACTCTCACCCGTCTGCTCTTTCTCAGGAAGTTTGCTCCCACCCGTCTCGCTCTGTTGCTGCCCTGATTGCTTCCCCGATTGCCGACTCCTTCCAGCCGCAGCTGCAGAATCCCTTCTCCAGTGTGCAGGCAAGCCCTCCACTTCCCGTGGTATTTCGTTAGCACCCCCACCGTCACGACTCGGCAACACATTTCTTGCATCTTCCGCTGAAGTTTCATCTGCTCCTGCCGTCCTTTGCCCAGAAGGTTCCTGCGTACCACTTACACTACAGGTCATCGCTACGTCGGGTATGGCGGCTGCTTCTTGTCGATTACCTTTCTCGAGCTCCTTCACAGCAGTATTGCCACCATCCTCCACCTTTTCCGAAGAGCCCGATTCAGTCACGTCCACCTCCATCGCGTCATCATCCCCTTGCAATCCGTCCATTACCATGGCATTCCCGTCTTCATCCCGGCGCTGTAGAGGATTTCCGGCCTTTGCAACTGTACTCTCTTCTGCCTCCCGCTTTTCACCGTCCCAATCCCCTGCTTTCCTCTCCTCCCGAGTCGCTCTCATGGGTCTTAGTTTTCCCTCTACCTCCTCCTCCTCCTCCTCCCCCTCCGTATTCGATAGTGGCATGTCGGCACCATCCTCCCCCTCCCTGCATATCAGCACATCGCTTGTCGGTTCACTAATGCCTTCCTTCTGTGGCAGCCCTGCCTCAAGGGCATCTACCTCTTTCTTGCCCTCCCCTGTGCTTGCACCATCTACTTGCAGCAGTGAGGACTGCTGTGCCGCCTGCGAACAAACTCCTTCCCTGTGTGCTTCTGCCGATGTGACATCATCAGCCTCCGTCTCCAGGAAAGAGCCGCGGTCATGGACTTCCTCTCCTTTCCCTCCTCCCGGGATTCCAGCGGCGTCGCCCTGGGCAACAACGCCTCCGGACCCAGTCCTAATGCCTTGTTTGTTGTCGGCATTGCCCTGCTTCACTTCGTTGAAGATAGTGTTGTCTTTTTCCTCCATAGCCACATCATCGCCCTCCCCTTCTCCAGTGGCGCCCGGCCGGCCGGGGTTGTCGCTGAGGGAAGGTTGCTGGGAGGGCTCGACACTTGCACCCGGAGGAACAATTTCAATTACCCGCAGGGGTTCGACTGGCTGTAGCGTGTTGGGAGTTTCCGGGGGTTCCATTTGTTGTGCTGGCTCAACGTCTCGCGGAGGTTCGACTATCTGGGGGGTTTCAAGTGGTTGAAGCCCTTGAGGGGGTGTGGCTGGTTCTCGGGTTTCAAACGGCTGTGAAGGGTTGCCTAGTTCTGGGGGCTCAACTGCTTGTCGCGGTTGGGGTTCACCCAATTGTGGCAGGTCAGCTGATCGCGACTTCCGATCAGCTGCTGCTGCAGATCTATCCCCACCTGATGGTATATGTGACAAGCCCGTAGTAGTCCGTATGGCCTCCTCACACCTGTTCTTTCCAGGGAAATCAGATGAATTTTCACCGACAGCTTGTGATCGAACTACAGGGGATTCCCCTTCCAACAAAGGGAACATTTCAAGAAGCCCTGCCCTACGTCCCCCCATTCTTTTGTTCGCTGACATCGCTCGCTTCTTCAATTGACTGCCGGAAGGAGTTGATGTGTCATCGTCACGAGGTCTCTTTTTGCTACTAAAAGCTTTCGCACCCGTCACGCGACGCGCTCGTGATGCAACATAGACTGCTTCAGGAGCTGGTTCTTGTGCTGCTGCTGGTTTTAGACATGTCGTTCTGACTTTAGCAGATGGTCGCAGCTGCTGCGTCCCAGATGCAAGCAACTGCAGCAACAGCGGGCAAGACTTCAGCCTGCTGTACATGCAGGAACCACATGCATACAGCAGCGCTCCATAGCACCGCCACGCCTCGTACCGCTTCAGCTCATTCTGTTGTTTGACGCTATCCATTTCTGGAAAGAGGGCCTCAAGATATGCACCCACGGTCGGCAGCAACACGAGTTCGACCACTCGATTTCCGAGCGCGCTCAGCCCTTTAATAGCTCCATAGTGTTGCGTCATCCCCTTCTTCGGATCCAGACACGCATGGACAAGGGTCTTCATTATCCTCGGTTGCAGGTTCTGGTATGATCGACCAAATCGACGGCAGATGAAACCGACAAGCTTGGCGCTGAAGTCACGGAGCTCCCAGTGATCGGCCATCGACGATTTCCCGCCAAGCCGCTTGACGACCAGACTTGTTAAGACGGGTGACATGAGCTGATGGAGGTAAGTCTCTATCTGGATATGGGGATTGAGGAGCAGGCTGCGGACAAATCTCATCAAAGAAAAGATGAGCGGAACATCATCCAAGTGTTGTTTCACCTTGTCCGCAACAAACTGTGTGAAGTAAGGCGCAAGCTGATGCAACCCTGCGCCTGTTGCAAGGCTGCTGTACACAGCAGAGAGCAGACGCTTGTCCGCTTTCGCCATTATCAGCTCTTGCACTTTCTCCCGATACAACTGAAGCTCTCTGGACAGGACATGCCGAACCGGCAGCTTGATTTCGGTCATCGAAGATGTGTCATCCTTACCGTTCATCCCACCCACAGGAGGAGAGTCCATCATTTTCGCATTCGACGGAAGCACGATGGGAGCATTCTCTGGGATGGCAGGTTGAACTCCATTGCACGCAAACCAATGTGCGCCCACCGATGTCTCCACCGGGCATTTCGGAAGAGGAGCCTCTGAGATTATCTCCTTTATGCTCATCTCCCTGTCCTCGATGTAGTAGAGATCTGGATGCCCGATCGCACGGCGGAACCGGAGGGGGTCACCTCCTCCGGAGAACCCGTACAGGGGCTCCACATTTCGCAGGCACAGTGCGCTGTTGACATCATCAGTTGATAGAGAACAGCGTTTCGAATGCCGCATACATTTGATGGCCTCTTGTATGATCTCTCGCACTCGATACTCGACATCTGGCGCCAGCACAGCTGCCGCCTCATCACTCAGGCTGGTTATCCCAATGCTCTGGCCAATGACTTGGATCGTTTCTTTCAAAAAAAACAAACTCATTTTCGCTCGTCTATAAATAACAACACAACCAATCTACTGTGCCAATGTGTGACAATGAAGAGTGCAATCAACCAGTCGACGACCTCCTTACCGATGCTGACATGGCAGCTCCTCGTACACAAAGACCTGATCATCTTTTTCGTCTTCATGCGCTAAACCCTAAACCCCAAGCCTCCATCCCCACAGTTCCGCCTTCTCACACAGCTGCATCCACATCAACAATCAACAAAGAAGGAGACAACAGAGCAACAAAGGCAAAAGGATTAGCAGCAATTTAGCTCAGATTCTCCCCTTCCTAACTCCTAAACTTCTTTTTTTTTTCTTTTTTCTTTTTTAAAGCCTTCCTTTACCTGCAAACTGCAGAGGCTCACCAGCACTTCCTTCGCTTGTGCCTGTACCAATCTGATCATCAGAAGCAATGGCATGATATTATATGCGGCGTTTCTTAGGAGGACGACATCTGTTATGTGGCATTGGAGTCACATCGCTAATTGCTTCAAGTTGGTTGTAATAGGACCTGCTCCATAACCTAAACCGTTGATTCTCACTTCAACTGACTGAATTCCTAAAATGGAATAGCAGCACGCGCTACATTCTCAGCAGTAGCTTGAGCAGCATAACTGGTCGAATGACTCTGGGGAAAGAAAGAAAAAAATAAAACAGAATAATCAACAACAAGAGCATTCACCCCTTCATACGCCAAGAAAGCAAACTGATTTCCCCCCAAAAAAAGAAAAAGAAGAAGAAGCAGCAGCAGCAGCAGCAGAAGAAGAAGAAGAAGGAAACAAAGTTTGACAAACCGTTTTCCCGTGCGAAAGGGAACAAAATGAGGGGGAAAAGGGAACAAAATGAGGGGCAAAATGAAGGGAGAAAGGGAACACAATGAGGGGGACAAACAGGGACAAAATGAAGGACAAAGTGAGGGGGCTGAAATGAGTACTACGCGGTTGGTTGGTTTCTCCCCCTCATGACCTGCACTCACTCCCAGACGAGGGGGAATACCCGACCTCCCCCTCGCTCCTGGACATGAGGATAAAGCCAGTTAGTATTACACTGAAACGGTTATCACCTCCGCAATAGCGGATGCAGATCCCAGGGCTCGATCCCTAGACCTCACTCACCTGTGTACAGTACCCCTGTGTGTTTGAAACCGTGACCTGCGTCTTAGGAGTCTGCTGTTGTCCGTCGTAGGCCAGTGTAGTCATCAGGTCTTGAACTGTAGTCCTGTCGAGTAGGGGTCAAGTTTGTAGCAGAGGTCGTAGCTGTAGTAGTTCTGAAGGGTCAAGGTCGTAGCTGCTACAGTGTTCGAAAGGCCAAGCCCACAGACTTCGGGAAGGTCCGGAAGTGGCCTTTCGAAGTTGTCTCACGTTTGGATAGAGGCAAGTGGGCAAGTGGTGAGCCCAACTGCGTTACATCGGCAGTGCGACTGCATCGAATTGGCAGTGCAAACCCATGCAGTCAGCGGTACCGGTCCCAGTCAGTCACAGTCCAGTCAAGCAAGTACCATGTGGGACTGTGTGCACCAAGGGCATGGGAAAG